TCAATTTCTTCCCATTATTTCCTCGATTTTTGCGCCAAACAAACGCGAAATACGTACACGATATTCATCAGCTTATGACAGGTTTATTAGACGATACGTATCTTTAAGGCGGTATTTTTAATAGGCGGTCGTTTTGGATTTCACGTTTCAATGATCTCTAATTTTATAACCACTATTAATCTCCCAAAAATGTAGTTTTTGTGTACAGAAAAAAAAATCATTAAAACCTTATTGATTTGTGTCTAGCAAGCTATCAGCATTGTATATACAGTACGTCCACCGATTAAGTTACAAGAATAAGCGTTCTCCAAATATTTCGAAGTATTTAAATATAGGATCTGGCAATAAAACTATAGGTCTATAGAACACAACAAAAATTTACTTATACCAGAACACATTGCAAACTGCGAACATAACCTAATTGTGTATGTTTTATATTGCCGCAATCCTCTTCAAACCAAGTTTTTGCCAATAATAGGGTTTAGTCAGTTATAAATGTATTTATGTGTATATTTAATAATACATTTTAAAAATGTAATAATGTTATAAACACATAATTTGCTATGTTGCCAAATTGGTTCAAACTTAAATCAGTGGAAATGCGTAAATCAGTTGATTAATTATTCTCTGATATAAGATAAAAGAAGAACATTTTACTAAAAATCAAAATAGAATCGAAGAGTGCTGGTACCTGAGATGGTACCACGCATCGGTCTGTTAATGGTGGTGGTAACGACATCGGTGCTCGAGGCGGTGTTGCCGCAGGGCTTCAGTCTTACCAACTTACCAACAACAACAACGACCAGAAGAGAGGAGAGAAGAGTAATAACCGATGGGGCCGTTGAACCTTCCGGAACGGCTGCCAGAGTATTCACAAAAAGAGAATCGTCCGTCGTTTATGTGCTATCGAATCAGCAACATCACTAGGAAGCAGGGTATTATTAGCGCATGAGTAATTATAAAACGTGTGAAAAACCACCTTGTTCAGATCTTTTGTCTCCCACTACCACTTCGTTGTGTTCGAAATGTCGTTAATATATCAAGTTTTATAAACGCCATTTTGTTTTATTAGGCACGAGCGAAGCTTGATAAAAACGAGTGTCTGGAGACGTTTATAAAACGAACAGAAATAAGAACTTTAATTCATAAATATTTGACATATGACGAATGTAACTTTTTTGCAATTTATAATAACTTTGTTAACTTCAGCCCGTGACTAAAACGCCATAGTCACGGCTCGTCAATGAAGGAGTAGATAAAAACAATTATAGTGGTTTATTGCATTGAAACACCTAATAATACAAAAGTATGTGACTTTTACTACTGATATTTTTATAGTTTATAAAATATAAAAAGGCTCCATCAACCATGAACAATTTGCAATAAAAATCGTGTGAAAACTTTTTTATTTTCGGTTGTTAAAGTTGTCACTTTTATTAATTAATTTTTAACTTTTAATTAAAAACCAACAAGGCATAGTTAAAACCCAATCAATATAATACAATGATGCCTATATTTAAAGATAATGCACAGGTGCTGAATACTACACCTGCGTTACTTTAAATACATTTCCTCTGAGTAAATAAAAATAATATAAAAAAACAATTATAGTCAAAAATGGCGAATGCACCGGTGTTAATTTATTTGCACAAATCGTTTAAATCATTGTATTCTCTCAATACAAAATACAAAAGTATTAAACGCTAATATTTGAAAAGTTTATATGCAACTTGTACTGACCTTTTGATTTCAGTAAACTAGATTTATTTGATTATGCATTAAAAATGCCCATAGAACACATGATCTTTACTTTCACTGTAAAAAACTGCTTAAATATCGGATTTTAACGGTGGTTAGTCCATTTTTAAGGGATACATTTCAACTTGCACGTTAAAATTTGACATTTTGACGCGCCGGTAATACAGATTCCCAAGTTACTCTATTGTTTTATAGATGTCGCTCTATGCGAATATTAAATTTAATTTGTAATAAATTAATTAATAATTAATATCTCCGAAACTATCAGCCATTTTTATCTTAAAATAAGGTGAAGAATCACGTCTTTAATAAATCACTTATTTTATTTGAATTAAAACCGCATAATTGTTTTCTTAGAAGCGTAATAAGCTTCAAAAATGATTTGCGCCTGTTGACGATGAGGGCCACACAAACCAACGCATTAATCAACTTTTTGTTTTTCCACCGAGCCTTTTTACCGTAGGAGACGGTTGGCGGAAAGATGAGAAGCACATTTATCAAAAAAAAAAAAATAACTAATTGAAGCGAGCGCAGCCTTCGGTTTGAAGCGAACAAACCTGATTATTTTTTTTACTTTCGGTAGGGACCCACAAAGCACGGAACAAGTGGGCAATCATTCAAAACGGGGAATGATTAATTAAGTGAATGAAGGTAAGAAGGTACAAAAGTGCGCATTATAGTTTTTAAACATTAATAAACTTTTTAAATATATTTCAATAAAATTAAATTAAAGATATGGCAAAAAGTGGTCTGGAGATTCATTTTGTAGGGGTTCTTTGGTATTTCCATCATAATATTGTCTACGCAATATGATCAACAACTTTTTCAGTGGCGTGTTGTATTTTACAAGCTGAGAAACAAATTACAATTTTAAATTAGGTTTTTGCACTGTTTGTGTTTTCTCTGTACGACCTGGTCTTGTAGATATATGATTTATATGGAATATTTTAAGAAAAACAAGCAGAAATGTTTTATGTTATGTTTTATTATTTTGTAGAAAATAACTTAATTTTTTACATTGTGTGAAATCATAAAATGGCCATAAAATCATCTTATTTTAAAATTCTATATAATTAAGCTATTTTATGTCCATATAATTAGAAATAATAATTTGTTTTATAAAACCAATATTAGTTCGTCAACGACATAAAATTATATTGTAATAGGCAACTAACGGTACACTTTGCAGGTCTATAAAATTAAGTGGTCGATTTTAAAATAAATAAGTATTGTAAATGTATATTATAATACTTATTTTATAATATAATACTTATTTATTATTATTTTTATTTTATATGGGTGATTTTACAAAAGTTGGACAACTTGATGTCACCAGTCAATATAGTAGGTATTTTAATATTTTTTGTAAATATTTTAGTATACCTATTACAAAAGATCTAGGTTTTTTTAACTTCTCCACCCAATTTCAATGTATTTTTACAAAAGCACGTTTGTAGAAAAACATAATAAATATTCAAAACATCAGTACCTTGGCGTGTCACAACTCCTGAATCAAATATTTGAGTGATTTTATTTTAAAATATATTTAATTTATCTTAAATTTTTTAATTTCACTACAAACTATAAAACATTAAATAATGTATGTTTCATATTTTATCATAGATTCGAATTATAGCAATTTTTAAAAAATTGATAATCTTTGTTCTCACTTTTACCCGTCAGTTCTGTGTCCAATGTTAAAATTCAAAATTCCTGCGAAATATTGAAGTTTAAACGTCAAGTCCTCGTTTTAACTCAAGTGTTGGTAAAAAATTACCTACAGTCATCTTGAAAACAATGCGAGCGGCGAAGTACTGTGGTGAGTAGTTATTTTCTTACGTATATATATTTAATTTTAATTTATATAAGGCTATATGTGATTTGTTAAAAAGTAGCATCCACTAATAAAAAATATCAGTACATTACTTAATTCCGAATTATAATCTCAAATTTGTATCCCATTCATCAGTACCGTGTCGTCAGTTCCATGTTCGATGTTTCGGTTATCTTTTTTTCGCAAACTTCAATTTAAATTCTGCTTGCGCAGAACTTGTTTATTTAATGTCATTATAAACTCATATAAATTTGGTGTGGGTCCCATATCTAATAATTGAGATATCGGTATACCCAAAATCCACCAGCCGCCACTGATGTGTGGTATTATTTGATTTTAAGATATTTAATGTATAATATGCGTAAAGTTGCAATACATCTTATATTTTCCAATAAATTATGTATTTAATTAGTACCCTGGTATACTCGTCACTTTCCTTGCATTCAAATTTAGAAAACACATATATTTCAGACTGTTTAAAAAAGTGACTGGACCGGTCTGGAACAGTATATTTATTATATTATCTATGTTCTCATAACAAAATACTGTTTAATTTTCTCCGAAAACTATATAAACAAAATAAGGTCAAAAGTTGCCCAACTTTTGTAGAATCACCCATATATAATACTTATTTTTTCTGTAATTGAATTAAAGGTTAAGTAAATTTTCCTTGTTTATTACATACTTAGCTTGCATTTATCATTTTTACATGTATACTTCAAATCATGATAAGTTATGTTTAATATCGTAATACTCATATTTTGCATATTTAGAAACATGAACTTGAATCTCAACTTTGTATTCTTTTTTAACAATACAGATGTCCAAAAATCCCTTCTGGGGGCGCTATATAGGCATTTTAAACAGGTTTTTATTAATAATTTCAAAAACGGTTTTTGAATTCTTAATGGTAGGGCACGTCATCAAAGAGGTTTATATAGGTACAAAAAAAATTAGGGAATACTGTGAAGTCGGTTACGAAATACATCAGTAAGTGTGTAGGAGTGATAATTATATTGTTCCAAATTTCTTTACAAATTGATGATTTCAGAATGGTGTGTTATTTAATTGTGTGTATGTTATTTTAGTGTTCATTTATGTAGATAAGTGTTAATTTTTTTGTTTTGGAAATTGATTAATAAAGCAACATTTCTTATCAATTTTTTTCATTTAAGTTCCCAATAACATAAAGTCATGTGGACCTGGATTAATATAAAATCTGATTAATATTTGGTTAATATAAACAAATATGCTTTACTATTCTAGCCCTGTAATATCCTGTGACGTTTTGGTAAAGCCCTTAAGGTGCCGATAGCTCGATAAAAACCTGGCTGCAATCTTGGCTTGTCATTAAGTGATAAAATAAAATGAAACCAAGCTTCGTCAATTAAACGCATACAGGGTTTTTTCATTCTATTTGATTAATACACTTCAAAGTAGTTTCATCGACTACCACTCGTCCTGTCTGCGGTCGCGTTATTATTGAATTGCCATTATTTGTAAACGTTGTCACATCAGATTCCGATGGTAATTTTCCGCGAGCAGCAAAAAATAAAGAATGCAGAAGCAGAAGCACATGATGTGAAGAGAGGTACAAGTCGACAGTGTCGTATCCTTTCAGTTTTAAAATTAATTAAAATTATGAAGTTTATGATGATCACTCTGTATCAAAAAGAAATGCCCAGGCACGTATTAATAGACCTTAACGCTGACGTTATATGCCCCGACTATAGGTATGTTTTGCTCTGGTCCACCAATCACCGTATACGTGTAAAGCGGGCTTTAAAGAAGCATGTGAAAATAACTTTTTTGCCCAATAGCCACATAAACTTATTGCTATAGATATAGCAACAAAATGATGTGGCAACTGCACTTGCCTACGCCACTGCCTCATAGAACCAAGAGGTATGCATCGTGTAGGTACTAGTATACCTACTAGGAGTATCATAGATGTGTTAGACACTTACCTTTATTATTTCTTAGTGCTATTGAACCAGGACTCGATGCCTCTAATGGACTGCCCGGATTTGAGTTGCTCAGTTCTTGTTTTACGCTGAAAGAATAAAATGTTGTTGTTTACACTCACTTCGCTACGACTACTCTTAGCGCTATAGCAAATATCCTTAGGATATTCTTTACTAGTTGTTTCGCTTTTACGACGCAAAGCTGTTTTACAATTTAATTGCTCGAATGAAAATTTTTTTGTGATGAAAAAATGTGTGCTGACAAAAATAGGTTCAAAATGTTTGTACAAATAGTTACAAGGTGTTTTCAGAAAGTTTTTCTTGGGTTGTGTTTTACCGATTATTTGTTGTCAAAATTTTCTTATGGAGGGGTATTAAAATGTTCGGTATTAAATTTCCTACAACATTGGAGGGATACTGAGGTTTTCCTTAAATTTGCTTCTTGGCCTTTTCCACCATATCTTTTGAATATAGCTTAAAATTTGCGCAATATTCTATTCTTCAACAAAAAGTAGGAAATTTTATATCTCTTCACTCAATTTTTTTTTATAAAGATAACAAAAAAAGATTATTTTTATAAAAGTTTATTGTTAGCATTGCAAAACAATAGTAAATAATATTATTAAAAAAAAATTTGTATAGCAATAAAATATTTCTGTCTCATTACTTTGACAAATCGTAGGTTTTTGTCCCAATAAGACACTGAAAATAATTAATAGAAAGGTGGTAAATTTTTTTATAGCCATTACAATTTTAAATTTAAGTTAAATAATATTATTTTATTAATCGCTTACAAAATTGGTTTCATTATCAAAGCATGTAGTGACATGAAAAATACTATTTAAAATATTTATTGAATTTGAATTTTCTATAGAAACATCAATGGGAAAAGTCGAATGGGCCTTATAAATGATTAAATCTTTAAATATAAAACGGTTTTGTGTGGAATAGCACGACAAAGTTTTCCGTCTTTTGTATTCATGTAACAAGGTCAATCGGAAAATCCATTAAAACTTTTTGTTCGCTAAAAGTTATAATGCGGGTTTGCCTACCTGTAAAGGTTTTTATTTTATACTTTTATACTTTAATATAATCAATTTATATGTAAAAGGTAAATAGCACTTACTGTAACTGTATATAATTTGAAATTGATTTAATAATATTAAGTATGTGATTCTAGATTCATGTTTTTATAATTTTCCTTTCAACCTCAAAAATTGCAGGCTCATTTGGCAAAATTCTACTTAAATAACAAAATAAATAAAATTGCATGGTAATACTTATAAAGCTTTATGAGAAATTAAGATTTTAAACTGTAAGGCTTCTTTATAAACACGAGCGATTTTATTATGAATACATTAAACAAATAATATGGATTTTAATATTATCGTAGAAACACACGCATCTAATTTATTCCATCATTTTTCATTTCGCTTTACACGATTGTAATTAAATTCAGCGTTTTAATTTATAGGCAATTAGCCTCAATATGTTCCGATGGATTCATATTTTTCAATTGATATTCAGTGTATGGCAATTAATAAAATACTACATTACAATATTTATTAACATGCATTAAAGCTTCATAGGTGTGAGTGCGATTTTTATTTAAATGATTGCAAATTATAATGTATTTAATTTAGTAAGTTGCAAAAATGGCGAATTCGCCGGGATACTAAACTTATTAATTTTTGTACTCCCAATTGCTTTATTAGACATTTCCTACCTGTACTATAATGATATTCATTACGATACAGAGTTTTGCCAATAGAATTCTTTAACATTTTTCAACAAATTACCTGAGAAATCCCAGGGCAAATTAGGCTAACTTGAAAAGTTAAATACTTTCTTATTTCAAATGTAACACCCGGTAAATTTTTACATAACCATATAGTAAATTAAAAACTTTTGATTGTTTTTACTATTTTTTATACCTAAAGTTAATAACTTCAGAAATATTTAAAAATTTCTAAAATTGTAAATATTATTTTTAAACATTTATAATAAAAAAGTTATTACCCTTTAAAGTTAGCCTAATTTGCCTAACGCAAATTTGTTAAATTTAAACGAAAAAAAAATAAAAACTTGAAAACTATTTACTTTAGGTATAGGACATGGTATAGTTATTTTATTTAGAAATTTATTTTTTGAAGTTAAAAGAGTTCTTAATAAAATTTAGAATCTAAAATATTTGTTATTTCTTCCATTAAAAGTTTCCAGTCTCAAACCATTTACATTTGCAGCTTTGTGCTAGTTCGTGTAATTTTACTTTGTTTAATGAGATTTTGCATTATGTAAGTCAGGTTTATTATATATTAAAACACAACGGAAACACGGTTGATTAATTAATTTAGATGTTTAGAACTGAAATGCAGGTTTTAGTAGCGAATACGTATCCTGAGAAATTTCAAATACAAAACACGTATTTCATTTTGGTTATAATGATATATACACCACATCCCTTACAAAATGTGGCATATCAATTTTTTAACGAACATTGTTCTTTGATGGAAAAATGTTGTTGTTCCAACTAGCTCAACTTGTAAATAATAGTAAATTAACCAAAATCTAAGTAAAATCACGTTTTTTTAACTTGTTTTTAATCAATTGTTGTTAATCAGTTGTATTCAATAATTAGCATTTTTTTTAGTTATTATGAAATAAAAAATAATCCTTTAAATTTTCTATAACCTTAAGGTAAATTCAAAGGTTATTTTTTAGTATAATTTAACTATAAGTTAAAAAGTAGGTTATTTTAAAAGTAATATTATCTTCTAATTTAAATCTTTGAAAATGGTTAAGACTAGTTATTTTTTTAGACATATTTTGGGTTAGTTAAACTTTTGGTAAATCAATCACAGCTTTGGTTAATTTTGGCGGATTTTTTTTAAGTGAGTTATGTTAAAAATAACAAGTTAATATTACCATAAATAAACGAATTTGTCTATGAACGAATTTCTTCCCTATATTCTCCAGACTTGATCTCCAGTGACTTTTACGTAAGATTTATCTCCAATGGAGAAAAAATTAAAACATATTTTAAATAGTTGGAAAATTTATAATGCCTTAAATACTAAAATGTATCTTTTTCATGGCCCCCTGTGTAGTGCAAACGCCTCATCGATTGGACGCATGCACCGTAACTGAGCCCGGCGGCGGCACCAATTATTGTCTCAGCGAACGCCGCCAATATAAACATCAGAAAACGGCGGGCCGCCCCACTTACCCGCCGTATTACTGACCCAATTTTTACACACACAACAAACACAAGTGGCCCCTTAATTATTCAACGAGTGCTTATGGATTAATTATTAACTAGTTTATTTCGTCCTTTACACAGGGTTGCCAACTCTACCAACTTTTCGGTACATCTACCAACCTTTAGTGTCTTGCTCAAATCTACTACTTTGCAAGAAAAATCTACCAGCTTTTTAAATTTTTTAAATTAAATTTCTGTGGAAGTTGTGTTTTTTATACTCTATATATAGATTTATCAACTTAAGTGCTGAGCACTGCATCTACTGAAGAAAATTATAAATTATGCAATCAAAATATGTATTCTTTTAAAGAATAGAATAATAAAAAAAGCTATACTGTTTTTCTATACTATTAAATTACGATATAGTCTACCATATCATAATTTAATAATTTCCGATTATAAATATAAATATTATTAAATATTAATTAATTTGAGTATACAACCCAAGTGCATATTTATAATTATCATAATTCGTTCTTCAATTTTAGGTTTTTTTCCCAACCAATATTTTAAATATTGCCAATTTGTAGTTCTGCTTTTTTATTGGTTTTTTTATGAAATATTTTTTATACATCAAAAAATAAATTCAGAGAGACAGATTTTTTACTTTAGAGTCTCTAGCATACTCACAAAGTATAGGTGGTAGATTCAAGATAAGATTTCTTTGAAAATCTCAACTTTTAAAATCATATCTACCTCCTAGAAGGATTTTGGGTTGGCAACACTGCTTCCATAGGCGCGGAGAAAGGGTGGGTTGTGGGTTTTTTAGACCGGCAGAAATATGAGACACAGTTGTGTTTTGAGAAATCCTAACCAACCAAATCCCCCCAAATTTGTTTTAATATAATTTGTAACAAAAGGATGTCTGAGTCAATCACCGTGTAGTTCCTTAACTTTTGATTTTAAAGGAGTCATTTTAACCTATAAAAAGCCTTTATGATTTTGATTCGCAATGGTATGTTTTGTATTTTCTATTATGGGATGTGGACGAACCTGGTAAACGTGGAATCCGCATTTCCAGTGGGGCTAGGCGTCGAACTGGTTGCCTCCATAACTTCTACTAATTATTATTATTATTGTTATTCTTATTACTATTATTTGTAGGTGCTAGAGCACCCCGCGACCGCATTCTACCCGTTCATGCTTCCGCGTTCGTGGTGTTTGACGGTCGGCCGCGTTAACAGGACTGCCGATATTCCGTTCCTGTTCCTTTTTAGGGGGTTGTCTATTCAATATTTGCGCTGTCGCCTTTTAATGCGCATGCCGATGCTACGCTGGAACGACGGCGGCGGTTCGCATCGTGTTGCCGCCGCCAGTTCGTCGTTCTACTGCCACCGTTCATGCCTCCACCTTTTCCGCTTTATTCTCTTCCTGTTTCCTAGTGTGCGTGCGTGCGTGCGTTTCCCTCTACCTACAGGATCTCATTAAAATATGTACTGTTGAAACATATTTGTAGGATTTCTAAAAACAAAACTAGCGCATTTACTATGTATTAATTTTGATAAACGCCATTTTAGTCATTAATAGGCACGAGTGTTTAATTAAATAAGCGTCTAGAAAAGTTTATAAACAAGTATACTGTTTCTGCGACAAATATTTAATATTATCTAAAAAATCGTTAAATTTATATATACGAGAATAAAGAAACCATCCCAATAAACATTTTTCACCATTAATATTGCCCGTTAATATTTTAATTAAACTTAAAAATTATTGATACTTAAAAATGTTGATTTTTTTATTACTATAATTTAAAAATGTTAGAATTTCTAACTTGGAAATCTACCGGGGTTAAAATCTCAAATTTTTCTGCGTAAATCAAAATTTATCCCTTGAAAATTGACTAACAATCGATATGAAAGCAGTTTTTCGCAATAAAAGAGAAAATAATGTTTAATGGACACTGTACGAAAATTTTTTAACGCTCAGTTAAATCTAGTTAACTGCAGTACTACGGCGAAATCAAAAGGTCATATAATCTTTTCAAATATTGGCGTAAAAAACTATTTAATACTTTTGTATTTTTGTATTAAGATGATAAAATAATTTTCACATTTAGTATTATTTTACCAGGCACTTTATTTTAACGATTTAATGACATTTTACAACTGTCAACTAACTTAAAACTAACTTCAGCCACAACTTGTCAATGTGTATTTAGAAGGTCACTGGAAACATGTACCATAATGGGCGTTTTAAAGGAGGAAGTAGAAAAACGCAAATACACATAAATATACGATTATTAAAACTATTTTTTCTTAATACAAATGTTTTACATATCAAGTAGGATTTCTTTCTCTAGTAATCCTTTTCGTAGGTAATTACATTTTGAAATAGTGCATTTTTGCGTTTCTTATACATTTTTAATCGATGACAAAGACAAATTTTTTCTAAGAATTCTATAAATTTTGAGGAAAATCAATTTAAACTTAAGTATTATAGATAAAATTAAAACAACAATTTTTTTGTAAACATTTCAGGATTTTATTAAAGTATTTTTTAATCCCATACAAATCCCGTCTTTATTTTATTGACACAACATTCTAATTTAAAATTGTAAATCAATTTATAGTTTTACTTTTAATCTATTAAAAAATTCTGAACTATTTTTTTAATCTTTGAAAATTTTTTAATTAAAAAAAACTACTTTTCAAATTAAAATATAGTTACGAAATTAGACCTAAACACACTTAAAAAGAAAAAGAAATACTTTTGAATTATTTCCGCAAAACAGTGTTTTTTAACGATCTAAAAACGCATTAAAAAATAAAAACCATAATTTTTTTCGATTAAAATATGGTAAATTATACGCAACAAGTCTCACTTAACACAGTAAAAAAATATTTTTTTGTAATACAAGTCATTTTCGAAAAACGGTGTTTTTTGAAAATCGGTGGCATTTTTTCATCTGATTGAAATAGTGACAACAGAAAAACAATTAAACTAAGGGATTCCGAAATATTCACGAAAATAACATTTTCATAAATAGGACACCCCGTATATTCTAAATATTTTAAAAGATTATTTAAATTGTAACAAAAAATTATTATTGAATAACTACCCTAAACTTAAAAATAAACAGCTTATAGGCACTCGAACTTTCTTATTGTTGTCAAAATAAAGTAAAAATTTGGTTAATTTAGCAACCAAATGTCTAATAATCAAAGTATGGGGGAAGAAAAAAATTTTTTACACAATTATAATTTTTAATTTTTTTCAAATTTTGCGATCTCCCCCAAAAATTTTCCCCTAAATTGATTTTATTTACTCGCAGATATACCATAGTATAATAATAATTCATTTAACCAATTCGCTAGAATAAATAGTACTCTATAAAATGCATAAATATTATAATAGTACTTACTGTTTGAATTCACCACACCTGCAGGGTCAATAGAAAATATTCCAAATAAAACCCATCAACTTTAATATCAATTAATATTTTTTATTTATAAATAAAATGTGTAGTTAAAATAATAAAGTTAGCCAATCTTTAGTACAATACACTCTAATCTAGAGTTACATACAAAAATATGTAGTAGATACATTTTAATACTTGTAAAAGTCAGTTGATTAATAAAATATTATTTCTCTAGTAAGCACCTTAAATCTTAAAATTAATAAACACATGTACATTTTCAAACAATCTGTATTGCGTCACGAAAATATCATTCTGTGTATTACATAAGGCACGAGAATAAATAACAACGCTGTAAGTCTAATTAACGACGAGGTTAAAGCTATTTGTAAGAGAAAAACGCAAAATCAACGGGTCATTTTGTCGAGAATGGGCACGATCATGTCGAACTTGGGGCGCTTACCCGGGTCCTCGTTCATGCAGATCTTGATGAGCTTCGAGAGGTGCGGCGATATCCCGGGCTTGACGGAGACCCTCAAACCCTCCAGCGCGATCCTCATCCCGACCTCCATGGGCGATTGGTCGGCGAAGGGCACCTCCCTGGTCGCCAACTCCCACAGCAGCACGGCGAAACTCCACATGTCCGAGGCCTCCCAGTTCCGGTCGGCGATCTTCTTCTGCAAGGCTTCGGGGGAGATCCACGCGGGGTAGTAGATCCTACCTTTCTCCTGGAAGGAGAACTTCGCGTCCGCCATGTTGATCCTCGCCGTCAAATCCTCCTCGATCACCACGTGGCGGCTGTTCAAGCTGTACTCGGGGGTTGTTCTTTCCAGGCTGTGCAAGTACGCCATCCCGCGGGCGATGTCGATAGCAAATCTCAACGCCTGTGCCGTATCCACCACGATATTACCGCCCCCTTCGTGCAGCACGTTGTAGAGGGAACCGTTGGGCAGATACTGACTGATGACCACGAACATCTGCGGACTGTTGCAGCAACCGATAACCGGCAGAATGTTGGGGTGCGAGAAGATCCTCAACTTCGGGAACTCCTCGTTGAAATCCCTCTGCATTCTCGACGTGTACTTCTTCAAATTGAGAATCTTCGCCACAATATCGTTCTTCTGCCAGTACCCAAAGTAGGTATCCCCGCTGTGCGTGGCACCGATCTGCTTCTTCAACTTCAAATCGTTGAAGTTGATGCCTTTATGCCTCGATAGGGTCGCGTCTCTGGTCCTGGTCTTCATTCCCAACCACGACTGGTCCTTGAACTGGATCTTGTTGAGGTCTTGGCCCTGCTCGACCGCGATTTGGTGCAGCACTTTCGCCAGGTTGCCTTTGCATTTGTCCAGCGGCGTGTCGCCGTACTTGTTGGCGATCGCCACCTTGGCCTCGTGGTGCACCAGGTCTTCGGCGATGTCCTGGTGCCCCCAGAAGCACGCGTAGTGCAGCGGGGAGTTGCCGTGCTCGTTGGTGAAGTTGAGGTCCACTTTTTGTCTTAGAAGCTAAAATGGGAGAGAATCAGTTTACGTTTGGATCGAAGGCTGCCAATACGCTAAAGAAGTATCGGGTTTTCGCAACGCGCGCGCCATCTGGTGGACTTCGAATGCATTAAATGAATTTAAGAATTGTCAACAATACATTTAAAGTACAGATTATACATCATTTTTAAATAAATAGGTAGTTTTTTCACATTACTATTACAAAGTCCCGTCCGTTACGCTTTAAATTATTAGTTTTTAAGGAATTAAACAGTCAATCACGATACCTAATTTTGCCAAATAAAAACCTTGTTAAACAGCTTTAGTTTAGAACTATTTATAAAAATTTGACATTGGTAATATAATAGAACAATATTATTTTGTAAATAAAAACACGGCAACTGTCCTCTCCGTTACGCGTGGAATGGCTCATGTGTCAATTTAAAATTTTTATTTATTTAGTTAAAAAAAAGAAATATAAAATTTAGAATTTTCACAAAATAAGACAATATTTTTAAAATCACATAATTTTTGGCAAAGATTTAAATTTTTAAGAATTCCTGACATCAATTTGCGCAAATAAAAAATATAGATACGTATCTATTATTTCCAATAACGCATTTAGTTTTGAACATTTTAAGTAATTTTATTATTATATTAAATTTTACATTTTTAACTTAGTATTAATACTAAAGTTATTCTGAAATTATTATTGCTTTGATTATGTGGCTAATAATAGCAAGATATATCAATACAATATAAACACAATTGAACTATTTAATAAATCACCTACTCTATACATTGATACAACAGTATTTATGCTTTGCATACAAATTACTACATATCTAGTTGATTTTATTATTTATTTAACAATACATTAATAGCAATAAAAACAATAAAAACAAAAGAAATCAATTTATTATAATTATACTAATAAATATAGTATGAACATTAGTTTACATGCATTAATAATAGCTTAATTGCTTGTGTGGGTTAACTTACCATCTGTACAATATCTCTGTGGCCATGGGCAGATGCCAAATGTAGGGGAGTATCATCGCCTCTGTTCGTAGCATTTACTCTTGCACCCCTTTGTAAAAGCATCTCTACAATCTTTGAGTGGCCCTTCATGGCTGCCCAATGCAAGGGGCTGAAGCCATGCTCATCCCTAAAAGAGCATTAATAAAGTTTTTTAATAAATTAAATCTTTTTTAGAGAGTTAACTGGTTACAAGTGTTGTTCTTGCACAATTTACCATAAAAGGAAATGTAGCAGAAACTGTTTACAAATTAGTGTTTATTAATATTTACCCCTGATTCATGTCATGTTCAGGTTCATCCAGCCATACCCTGACCTGCAGGGCATTTCCTTCCTTACACCACTGAGAAATATCCTCCATTTCAGCCCTATATTTACAAAACTATAAATAAAAACAAATGGGCGTTCACGCAATTCGCCTTTTTCAATGATTTTTCATGTAATCACTAACCAACACTATCCCTATAAATAATTAACACGAAATAGCTGCCAAAAGGAAACACAAAAACCACATGCGATAACAAAAATAAGTTATTTTGAATAAATTATAACATTTTGATGGAAATTATGTCATTGCCATTTCTGGGACAATCGGTTTTGCAGAAGAACCAACACAAGAATCCTGAAACTTGAAATCCCCATAAGCTTTGTTAGGCAACTAACATCCACTACTGTAAACTGGGTTGCATAAGCAACAAGGGAAAAAATTACCTTTTGAAATTTCGTTTTTTTATCTATATTTGTATAATTCAAATATCACAGAGTATCTCTGTGCCAATTTGGCACTGCCAAATATCTATAAATCCATATGCATTCCTTTCTCTATGTCCATATGTGGATTGTGGTAGTAGTCACAATTACAATTAAAAATTACCTTTTGAAATTGCGTTTTTTTATCTATATTTGTATAAATATATAAATTAGCTTTTGAAATTGCGTAATTTAACTATATTTGTATAATTCAAATATCACAGAGTATCTCTGTGCCAAATATCTATAAATCCATATGTGGATTGTGGTAGTAGTATTGTATGTTATTTTCAAATGTGCTCTGTGAATACCTACTTTAAAAATATTATAGATAGAACTTGATATTTTCCATACATTTGAGAAGTTGATATTTTTTTATATATTGTATGAGTAAAAATATTTTAACAGAGTATTTGGAAATAAGTAATTCAAAATTATAAAAATTTAAATTAATTAATTTAAATTTAAATATATAGTTTTTAAAAAATCATTCAAAAAATTCAATCTTTAAAGATTTGTGAGCAAAGACTAGATTCCAAAACTATGGAAACCAGAACTTTTAATTTGTCAAAATAAAAATTGTCATTTATTTGGCCAAAAAAAGTCAAAATTTTAGGTAATAATTTCGAAATTTAAGTTGGAAAAAGTACAGCTTCAAGATGTCTTGCGATACTGGACCCTCGGCCTTGGACTGGCTGCTGGATCCGCTCAACTACCAGCACCCACCCACCATGTTCATCTTATGGTGGTGTGGACTTTTGGGTAAGTAAGAAGCAACCGCATTAAATCGAAAATATTTGAGAAAACTTGTGTTTTTGGTCTTCCACGATAATCGGCAATTTTTGTAGCGTCCGTAATAATAAAAAATTCCAACCCTTCTACTTAAAATCCCTTTTCTCCAAGTTTTTAGAATTCCACTTCACGAATTTTCTGGCGACTAAATATTTTGAATAAATAACAAAAAAATGTTTTTATATTATTAGGAAACTATGTGTATGATACCTTCTTCGCCTCTGATGAAGGAGGAGACGATGAAGGAGGAGCAGATGGAGGAGATGATGGTGGAGATGATGATGATGATGAAGGAGGGGACGATGAAGGAGAAGACGATGGAGAAGGCAAGGAAGACGACAAGGGAGACGAAGGGGAAGGAGAGGAGGAAGGAGAGGAAGAGGGTTAAAAAGAAAATATCAAATAGTATGAGATGAAGTTGTATATTAAAATTAAAAGTGTCCTACTTACTTTTAAATGGTCCTTATGAAAAATACACTGTTTTGAAAGTATTACATGCTTTATTGTTCATTTATTACCCTATCTAACATTTTATATGTATATTATACCGTAATATTACACAGGGGCTTCTTTTCAAAAATGCTGATTTTGGTCAATCTGTAAACCAAGAATTTTTGGCCCCATAACTATTTACAATACATCCAAAATAAAAATTAACCTATTCATGGAAATGATAAACTCAATAAGGTTGCTGGTAATGTCAATCAGAGGGTGATATATTTTGTGCTGCAGCAACCAAAGTGTCATGGATCTCTTTGGTGTAGGACACTTGAGCGCTGGCGGTGGCTAAAAATTGGGGATATGTCAAAAAGTTGTCTGTTACACCCATACTGTCCATTCTGGTTGTGTGCACTTGCAGATTTAGGTATCTGTTGCTGCTCTCGCATTGACTTAGACATTTTATAGAGGTTTTCTACAAAAATATGTAGAATTATTTATAGGTTATTTTGGTTAAGAAGGATTCTTACCAAGTGTAATTCAATTTGATCGCAAATTGAGTAAAATTCTTCTAAATTCTTATCAAATCTTGGTATTTGACCGTCCACATTTTTTCTAGAAGATCAAAATGGTGTAAAAATGACACTCAGGCATAGGGGAAATTATGTGTATAAAATATAGGATGTTTAAAATTATTTTTATTTTAATGGTCAATTATTGGAAATATGATTAGTACATTTTATTACTTACTGAGATCCAGCATCCACCTGACTATTTTGGGCTAAAGTTTGAGCAGCAGTTTTAATAGTAGTCTAAAAACAAAATCAATCATAATATCATATTATGATTTTTTTAATAAAAACTATACAGAATAATTGTTAGAATTTTATGAAGTTTTTTACTAGGAAATATCTACCCACATAACACAATATGTTTTAACAGTTTGGAGAACAATATTTATAAATGAAAGGTTGATGAAATTTTGTACGAACATTCCGGGAAAATATTTCTATAACTCTTAATATTGTAGAAGGAAAACTCAATGGTAGTCGGGTTTTTTTTATGTAGAGTCAGGGGTGCTGATAATGAATCAAGAATATTCCCCAAAAATTTCTTTCCGCGTCCCCTAATTTCATCCCTTGAAAGGGGAGTTTTTTGCTTTTTGGCTCATAACCATAGAAAACCCCGTAACTTACTAACTGTGCTATTTCAGAATTTCCCTCTAATACTTTTGGATTTAACTGCCTTAAGAATGTCCTTAAGCTGGATATTACTGTCTTAAGAATGTTAACTTAAGCTATAGATATAATTGTCTTAAAAATGTCAACAGAAAAATACATTTAGCATCTTTTGATGCTGGCACCAAATCCAAACAACCCTTATAAGCAGCCTCCTTTAAACGTAAAATAATAATAATGTAAATAGTTTTTATTTAGTTAGTGTTCCTTTTTAGCACTGGGGACAAAATGTATCTTACATTTTTAAGTGTCAAAAATCCATAAAAAAATACTACTTACTGACAACTTTTCCCTCAGCGGTCCAATTAAAGACTTAATTTTCGAAATATTGTTCAACAAAGGTTGCGGAGCTTGCTGTACGTGTTGCTGGGCCTGTTGTTGAGCTTGTTGTTGAGCTTGCTGTTGAGCTTGCTGTTGAGCTTGCTGCTGCTGCATTTGCTGCTGTTGCAGCTGCATTGGCATATTCGGCTGATTTATCATAACGTTCATTTTAATTTCGGTATTTTTAAGCAAAAACACAGTTTATTTTGACAAATGTCAATTAGGCTGGTAAAGAAGTTTTCTCGAGGAGGTTTGTTTACTGGAGCATAGATGGCGACACTTACTAGTCAAAAAAGTGTTTAAATTTAGGTAAATTTAAAGAATTTATTAATTTTTTAACAAATAAGTATCATGTAAATTCATAAATTAATTTATTAAGCTTAGTTTAAATGTATTTGGTTTAAATACGGGACTTTTTTAAGAACTTTCCAGTCGCTGATTTGAGAAATCACAGGGTCAAAATCATATGATCAATCAGCAGCAGAAAATTCACAACCTCGATATTCCTGCTAAACTAGAAGGCGTTGTCAACGAAACAACTTTAAAAATTTAATTGTTTTCTTCTGTAAAGGGTAAAAAACAAAAGAATTCACCATGTCTCTCAGCGACGCCGACGTCCAAAAACAAGTGAGTACTGATTTGCAAAAAATTGACCCAGTAACGTAAAATGAGCAAATTCACAAAATGTTAATTTTTGAAAATGTTCTTAGATCAAGCATATGATGGCTTTTATTGAGCAAGAAGCCAACGAAAAGGCCGAGGAAATTGATGCCAAAGCCGAAGAAGAATTTAACATTGAAAAGGGACGTTTAGTTCAGCAACAGAGGTTGAAGATCATGGAATACTATGAGAAAAAAGAGAAACAGGTCGAACTCCAGAAGAAAATGTATGTATAATGTCCCTCTAATGAAAATAACTAACAAAAAACACTTCATTTTGACAATTTATGGGTTAGGCAAATGTCATGTGATCAAAACTTAGTAGTTTTACTATATTTAATTAAGTTTCAAATGATTACAAAGAAGGCTGCTACCAAATGTCAAATGATGACATTTATGTCTAATGATGACATTTAATCAATAAAATGTCAAAATATTACATTTTTGACTGTCAAAGGTAAAAAAAATTCCAAATCTAATAACATTTTTGTTTATTTCAGTCAATCTTCCAACATGTTGAACCAGGCTCGTCTCAGGGTTCTTAAGGTGCGTGAAGACCATGTCAGGTCTGTTTTGGAAGATGCCCGTAAACATTTAGGAGAAGTTACCAGCGATCAGGGCAAGTACGCTCAAATTTTGGAAATGCTCATTTTGCAAGGACTTTTCCAGGTATGTAAATAATAAAATGCTTAGATAACAAGGTTATGTTGATTTTTTAAATAAATTGTCGTTTAATGACAGATAGATAACCTCCATTATTTGTATTCAAATGTCATTCTGTCTTATAAAAAAGTATAGTTAATTAAATAAGACAATATATTGTCTTATTTAATTTTTTATATACCAAGTGTTTTAAAAAGTACAATTTTTTTGCAATTTTTACACTTTTAATACTGTATTACAAATTAAATCTGAATTTAGACCATACAGAAAAATAATGATTGAAGTATTAAATATTAAAATATTTTAATATTGTCTATTTTTAAATAAGTACTCCAATCATGGGGAAAACATTTTTTTTCTTTATGGTCTAAATTCAGCTTTGATCTGTAATACAGAGAAAGAGTCTGGAGTATTCTAAATCTTGCAACACAGCAGGGTATTTTTAGGTTTTCATAGATGGCGCCACTAAACTAACCAACAAGACTATTTTCGTGGCGCTATCTATAGATAGCTATTAAAAACGAAAGATTTTGAATTGACCATGGTAATTTCAGTTGTTCGAGAAGAACGTTATTGTAAGGGTGAGGCCCCAAGACAGGCAGTTGGTGCAATCGATTCTGCCAAACGTCGCGACCAAATACAGGGACGCCACCACGAAAGAAGTAAGCTTGAAAATCGACGAGGACAACCAATTGTCGCAGGAAACTACCGGGGGGATCGAACTTTTGACCAGAAACAACAAAATCAAGATCAACAACACTTTGGAGGCGCGTTTGGAGTTGATTTCTCAACAATTGGTGCCCCAAGTTCGTACAGCCCTGTTCGGACGCAACGTCAACAGAAGATTCACCGATTAAATTTTTTAAGAAAATCTGTATATTTCGCTTTTTCTAGTATTAAGTTTGCCACACAATAATTCCATAATTAACTTGTAAAATATTTATGAAATTCTGTAAATAGAATTGTTGTATTCCATTTTATTTTTTAGTATTATTGCCTAGAGATTTAAATTTAAAACGTACTATTTGTTAGATGTGGTAGAGGGCATGGCTTTTAATTTAAAAAAGTCACTTTTTAAACCCCCATATTATCTGTACACTATGTTAAATAAAATGTTAAAAAATCAACACATGGTTTTTATTAAAAAAAAACAATTTATCCTTCAAATATTTTAATTTTCCTTTCAGTCCCCTTCATTGAAATACCTATGTATGTATACAGGGTGCAAAATATTTTATAAAGACCAAACAAATTAAGACTAAAAATCTTTTAAAACAAAAAATCCTTATATCTGTTATTTCTGTGGAGTATGAAAAAAAATTAAATTTTACATGTAAACATTAATCTACATTTTTATCCAATTTCTTCACTACTATCTTTTGTTTTTAAAATGTCCGCCAAAGCTTACTTAATTTGATATACTGTTGAATTCCTTGATTTTTTTATCTATGGATAAAATAAAAATAAAATATCAATATGGCAACCATAGGAAAAACAAAAGATGGTGGTGGTAACATGTGAAACTTACTTTTCTTTAAACATTCCCTTGAATTTATTAATAACAAAGTTATAAAGATTTTTGGTTTTGACAGCTGTCAAAATGTAGGTTTTTGTTTTCTTTTAATTATTTTAGAACCACTGATTTTATTTCCAATTTTTAAGTGCCATTTTAAAAGCTTGAAATTACGCAAATTTTCTCAAATTTTACAGAACTTACAAATAAAAAAAAATGCATAAAAGCCCAATTTTATTTTCCAAAATAAATCCAAAAATTGCAAAATGCAAAAAAATAAAAATCAAACCAGAAAAAGCAAAAACTCAAAACAATAAAAATCGCTGACGCTGTAATTTGTCACGCGAAATTTTAAATATTTTCTTATCGCCGCGTGTTTAATCTACAATAATTATTAACCATACAGCAAACATAACAGTTTTACAGCGCTTCTATAAAACCGTAAACACCATTCGAAAATTTCGAAATGTGCCACGCTGTAAAATTGGCAACGCGCATGCCAGAAATGGTTACGCGTCACCAGTGTCGTTCCAAAGTTTAAAGAAATTTGGAACGATTTTATTTTACTGTTATTTTACTGTTATTTTGTTGTTTGGTAGAATGTTAACCATCAAACCAAATTAACTTTTGCGAAGCTACCATACGCTACATTGCGTATAGGTACCTAAACATTACATAATCAAAAGATAATCAGTTTGCAAGCATTATTCTACTGTATTTTACTGTATAAAATGTTTTTATCAGGGACCCGGACCGGACCGTTTTTGGACAGAAAACCGGACCGAAACCGGTATATATTTGTGGACCGGAACCGTAACCGAACCCATATTATTTTTAAATGCAAGTCTAGAGACCGAACCGGAACCCTTTAAATTTAAAACGGTTTTTTAGGTTATTTTCGGTTTTTTTCTTAAATTCTTTTTGCAAAAATTATTTTTTTTTTTTTAACCAAATAATTTTTGATTATTTTGGCAACAATGCAAAACAACTATGACTAACATCATGTCAATGACATGTTAGTGAAATTGCCTACAGATGGCAGCATCGAAGTATGTGAACATATACTTACCACACGTGTGTGGTAAGTATATGTATGTGAAAAATGTCCATACAAGTAATTGAAAGACGCGCCATTTTGTAAGAAATGAACGACCATCTTTTATATGTGCTTCTTTGGGGTTTTCTAAGCCATTCTCTATGTTCAAACTTGGTTAAAATGGGACGAAAAACAACTAACCCAGGCCATCAAAAAGAAGAACAAAAGCTCTAAGTTTAGTTTTTTTATTTTTATATAACTTATTTTAATTATAAATTTTTTAGTTTCTCAATCACAAGATCAGAAGAAAAAAATAAAGAAAGCCAGCCGATCGATAATAAAAATAAAGAAGAGAATGAAGACCTTAAAATTAGAGAACCTCATTTAAAAAATAAGAAGAGACAAAGTAATACTTTATTTAATTACTTGCCAAAAAAAAAATAAAAAAAATTAATAAACTTTCCATTTTATAATTTAAGTACTTATTTACACCTAGTAAAAAAATTGGAACCGAAAAAAACCGTATGGACCGAAAAGATTGGCCCGGACCGGACAGAAATATTTTTTTTGGAACCGTAACTGAACCTGAACCGAAATTTGTCGTTTCTCTCGGAACCGGAACCGGACCGGAACCGTTATTTCATTTGGGTCCGGGTCCCTGGTTTTTATACAAAAATATTTTTCAAAATATTTCTTTTTTTAATGTATAAGAACCATTTTTATAAACATACTATTCTATTATTACAATCTTTAATGTAAGCAATAAAAAAAATATATTTTCGATTAAAATTCGTTTAAAGTGTGTTTACTTGACATTATTATGCAATTATTGAAAAATTAACTCTGAGGATGGATTAATTTGTAAATACATGCATTTTAAATTGTTTTTTAATGAGTTTTCAATGTTCCCACTTTACGTTCTGAGAACGCCGCTTTCTTCTATGATCTGTCACTTCGAGATTCCATCCCCACCCTCACTTTTCTACCTGTCTTCTAACGAGACGGACGTGTCTTAAAGGACGTGTTTTTCCTTTGGATTATTTAAAATTTTCCGTATTATTTCGAAGAGAAGATGGCCCCTAAACAGAGGATGCGTTTCGCAAACGAAAAAGCCATGAAGAACGTCACCATGAGAGGAAACGTGCCCAAATCTTCCGTAAGTACACTTTACCATATTGTTTTGAATTAGGCCGGACACGTAGCGCTTTTATTTTTAGCAAGTGCTTCAGATTAATCTTATTGTTGAATTAAGTCGGTTTTTGACGTTAGTGACGTTTAATTTTCAACAATACGACTGTCAAAGCCTTTTGTTTCTTGTCAAACCCAAACCAACCAGGTACTTTAATTACAACATAATAATATGTTGTACTGAATATAAACATAAAAAACGGATTTAATTTAACAGTAAGATTAATTCTAAGCGCTACATGTATAGAAAGTTAGTTTTATACTTTCTATTGTAACTTTAACATGTTTTTATGTTGTTTAGAAAGCCGTAGATGAAAAGACACCTGTAGGCCCATGGTTGTTGGCTCTTTTCATCTTTGTGGTCTGTGGATCGGCTGTGTTCCAAATCATCCAGTCAATCAGGATGGCTTAAACCTACTACCCTTAAAAAATGTGATTACCTCCTCTCTTTCAAAATAATACATATAAGTTGTTTGCTCAGACTTTCCTGTAAATGTGTGTGCGATTATTTATGATTTTTTTTGTTTTTTCGTCCCAAATTTTAAATATATTTTACATTGATTGTAATGTACGGAAGATGCATTTAAAAATTGCAGCACAATAATAACTATGCATGTTATCATTCCAATATTTTTATATTTGTGTTACAATTTATGTAATAAGTTTAAATGATATGAATATAATTTTCTATATTTAATACCTACAATGTGTCTTATTTACTTTCCCTATAGCCTCAATTACCTACAATACAAAGTAATCTAATATATCAGAAAATATATAAGTATTTCGTAATTTATTATCTTGTTTTTGGAATGTTTTATTATTATTAAATATTCTGAGACGCAATTTGTGCAAAAACTAAATCAGCAATTTTATATATAGGTATATTTATAGGTATACCTAATAAAAAATACACAATGTGATAAATGATAAGCTTAATCATAATAACATTAAATTTTATATAAAATAATTTTACATTTTATTTTTTGACTCGATATGCTTACAATTAAATACAAATGTGGCAAAAAAAATATTAAAACCAAAGATACTGTTTGAAAATTTTAAATTGTTAAAAAAATATTTGTATCGCAAAATAGAGTACTTATGCAGTTTTTTATAGCAAATATTTGCTTTTCATTTCTTGATAAATTTAACTATGAAATTGCATTGTTTAAATTATTTATTTAAAAAAACAAGCTACTATTAAAAATCACAACTTTTTCAACAACCCTCGTATATCAAAAATACAGATATCTATTTTTATGTTAGTTAGTTTTATGAACCGCTCATAGATGTCACTTCAAACCCAACTAAAAATTGTTTGCTTTTAACCTCACTTTCTGACGACATAACCTCTACGAAAATGTCGTCCGACGAGGAGCACATGGATGTTAAAGAAATAGAAACAGAAATCAAAACAGAGGAAGAACATGGCGATATTAAACCGTCCACTTCCGGACAGGTTATATTCCCGAATGAGAGTAAATTCAACCACATCAAAAACAAACTGGTTAGGCAACAACAATTTCAGAAAAAACAGAGGGAACTAAAGAAGGTCTGTAAGGTTGTTGAATAATGGGTGTGTGTTTATTTTGGGGTTTTTAGGCTAAAAAGGAAGAGAAGAAAAAGCGCGAAAAGGAAGGTTTGCCTAAAAAGGTGCCACATACCATAGACAGTTTAAGAGAAAAAGATGAAACTACTGTGAACGATTTAAACGATGAAGAAAATGAATTGGTTAAGGAAGACGTCGATCAGGATGAGTTTAGTGAATATTATAAACATTCTTATGAACCTAAAGTGCTCATAACGTTTGCCGAAGACCCTATGAAGGTAATTTTATCATTTTAATAATTTTATGACATAAATATATTATTTTATTTTAGAAAACGAGAATTTTTGGAAGAGAATTAAGAAGAATAATCCCAAACTCTGTATCCCTATACAGAAACAAATCGGACATTAAAAATATAGTAAAAAGCGCAATCAAAAAAGATTTTACAGACATTTTAGTTATAAATGAATGCAAAAAACAACCCGATGGTTTACTATTGATACATCTTCCCAATGGACCTACAGCCCATTTTAAAATCAGCAACCCCAAAATAACGACAGAGTTAAGAAGAAACCACAAAAATATTACTGCACATAGGCCCGAAGTGGTTCTTAATAATTTCACAACCAGGTTAGGTTTAACTGTCGGGCGGATGTTGGGGGCTATTTTCCACTACGATCCTGAGTTTGTTGGTGCTAGAGCTGTTACTTTCCACAATCAGAGAGATTTTATATTCTTCAGACACTATAAGTAAGTTTATCTACTATACACCAGTGCATTAAGTTACTTAATGCACTGGTGCACAAATTTGAAGAAAAGGTTAAACCCATCTGACAGATGTCAGATTTTTTAAAAGTTAGGTTAAAACGGCTTGACAGATGAAATATCAATAAAATTGACTAAAAAAATTACTTTGTTTTTAAGGTATGGTTTTGACGAGAATGGTAAAAGGGCAAGGTTAAAAGAATTGGGCCCCAGATTTACCCTTAAACTAAAATCGTTACAAAAGGGTACATTTGACAGTAAATATGGACAATATGAATGGATAATCGATGGTAGAAGACACAAAATGGAAACAAGCAGAAGGAAGTTCTTCTTGTAAACTTATTTGTTATTTAATTTTAAATAAAAACATTTTTTAAAACCATTGTTTTCCTATTTATGTGGGTATAATTTTCAAAAAAATTACAATAAAAATTTATTTTTTTTTGTTGTGCAATGTTGCTTGATCCGGTCCTGTTAAAGCATTAGATTTGTTCATAGACAAACAAAAATAGAAATATAAACAAAATTAAACAATTTAAATGTGCAGTTGGCATTCCTGCCCGTAGGTGGCAGCACTATGACAAATTTCAAATAAAACAACATGGCGAGGTTATATGTGTGTTTTCTGTCATTAAATCCGAGTTTTCGTAAATATTAAATTAATGTAGTGATAATTAAGCTAAGTTAAACGGTTTTCGAACTACTATCGTCCAAATACAGTGTTGTGTAATGATAAAGGGCTGTTAACAAGTCTTTGTGGACTTTTTGTTTGTGAACTTTTGGAACATTTGTTATTTTATTGGAATATTTCAAATTGCAACAGTGAATAGGATCGGTGAGTTACTTAATTGCTAAATTTATACTCAAAATCAACTAAAAGTACTTTGGAACAACAAAAAAATACCTCTCTTAACTTAGACATTAGGGTTCTTCTGAACAGTTGATAAAGTTGTTAAACTTGCATTTGAAGTCGAGATGAAATAAATAACACACTAAACACTTACAAAGTAAGTAATTCAACAGAATGCATTTTCTTTAATGACATAACCTTTAACAATCATCCATTGCATCTTACAGGTGTGCACGTGTGTATCACGCTGATTACTGAACAGGTCCAGTGCATAATTTTTAAAATGCCTATTAGATTTACCGTAATAAAACAAGCATTGAAGTGCACCTGCTCTTTGTACTTTGTAGTTTCTGGCTGGAGAAGATAGTAAATTGTCTTATTACATCAAATTGTATTTTAATTTTGCAGTTGAGGAGTTTTAAACTTGTTTTTCTGCTTTTAGACATGCTATTTTGGGGTATTTTGGTTGGTGTTTAGATCAACAGGTTGTTGGGTTATTGCTTAAAAAAATGTTAATTTAATTTTTATTTTTTTTAACATTTTATTTATTAAGCATTAGGTTGTTTAGCTTAAATGTTGAGGGTTTAAATTTTTAAATAAAAAATATTTTCTTATAGGACAAATAAAAAACTAGTACCTAGACATTATTTTATTTTAAAATTAAATAGGTACTTAAATACAAATATAATATTTGCCAAAATGTATAAATTTCATTGTACATCTACTTCCTACTACCTGATATTTTTAAGACAGTTAGGTATATCTAGCTGAAGTTGACATTTTTAACAGTTTTGTCTAGCTTAAGTTGGCATTCTTTAGACAGTTATAGGTATCTAGGTATATTTGACTGCATTTTATAAAAATTCGTATTTCCCTTATATTCGTATTTCCCATATATTGTTATTATTATCATATCAAGCTTTTCCTATGCTTTAAAGAACTGTCAAGTTTTTATTTTTATTTTGACGTATGTTGTACAAACTGAAATTTGCGACTTTTCTTTCCATAGTAACCAATCAAAGCGCGACATTCTTCAACGCACACTAGATTGCGACAAACAATGCAGTGCACCAATTGGTTTACTAATTTCTATAGAAATCATTTTCCATTGAAAGTAAATTCGCAACCTACGACCAGGGGCCCAGAGTTACATATATATTTTAGTTTATATTCTGTCAGTTTCTAGATAAAGCAGTTATTTCTAGTTTAAGTCGACATCCTTTAATCATTAGGTACTGTATTTTATATTAGGCGAAAATTGTTTAACATGATCAACTATCATATAATAGACGTTTGTGGTGCATCTGTAATTTAAAATTGAAGGTCAGCTTGTTTTCATGATTATAAAATATGTATCGTAGGTAACGTTGGATTACTTTTTTAATTCAGCTAAGTATAGTAGGTATCTGGTGTTTAATTTTTTCACAAACGTTGTGGCAGGCCTTCATCAAATTTGCATGCTTCAACCTTGGACCCACCCCAACAAATAACCGAGTAAATCCGCAAAAAATTACGCAGGGTTTGTCCCTGTAAGGCATGCTATCGTCCCATCGTGGATCCAAGCAATAAACATAAAATTAATTGCATGATTTTGCATGTTACTTATCGTTTTGCCACTTTTTAAAGATTATTAACTTCTCTTTAACAATCTTAATAATAACCATGTCCCGTTTAGAGATTGTTCCGTTTCAATTAATTAAATTATAATTAAGTTTGTTAACGCGACAAATCTGATGAAATTTTTTGCAACTACCTCCTACTCGACAAAAGTTACACGATACGTTTTTGGTGATATTTATCTTTAGTTTTAAAAGAACATTCGCGTTAAGTATTACTAATTAAATTAATTGGGTGGGTAGTAAAATGATTAATTCAAAAACTAAATAAAATGGCGTTTCAGCGCGAAATTCAGACTTCCGTGAAAAACGCGTAATTTAAACTATTAAATATCGGATAATTGAAAACTGCACATACAATTAAAGTTTCGGGTAAGTACCTAATTGAAAACGGATCAAATTCGAACAAAATTGAATAATTGAAAAGGAAACAGTTGTTCAAAATAAAAAATGGTTAGATGAATTCGCACAGTAGGATAAATTTAAAAAATGGCAGGACAAATTTGCACAGTGGGAAAAAACAATGGGAGAAATTTTCAAAATTTTCATTTATTTTTAAGTTTTAATTTTTTTTTTATTATATTTTCCAAAATTTTTAAATTATCCAAATTTTCAAAATATACAACGTATTTTTTGTTTCACATTAAATTGTGCTTTACTTTTTGTTGAATATATTATACCATTGGTTTAGTGTTGAGCACTTAAATCGGTGGGTTTTTCCTTTGATATTTCCGATGTTAATATTCATAACTTTAAAATCTTGCCTTAATTGTTTTACTTATTACTTACCTAATATTCATAACCTTAAAATCTTGCTTTAATTATTTAACTTCATAACTTGATATTGATACTACGTATAACTCATGAGACTTTATTGAACAACAACAACAACAATACAAAGTGTTTTATGGCCATGTCACTCAGGTTGTCATATTCTTGGCAGTCCATTCGGCTAAGATTTCCTAAAAGGAAAAGTGGTGTTATCAAGCGAATATGCATTTTTAATTGAGTCATAGCTTAAATATTATTTGTTTTCCTTTTATTAATAACTTTGTGGGATGGGAATAAAAGTTTACCTTTGTTTATTAGTTGCAGAACCTCCTACTTGTATTTTGCGTATTTTGGCTGTTAAAGGGTTTGTCAGGCCATTGAGGTCACCTAAAAAGAATACGTTTTATTATTGCCTTGAGACAGCTAGGGATACGTAAAGAATAAGTTAGGATAGTATATATTCAAGTTACTTACCACTTTTTGTTTACAACATTTAGAATTGTATGTCAGTCGGCAAAGTCATCTGCGGTATTTGACGTTTCATCTGTCACAATTAGGAGATTTCGTTCGGTAAAATTTAGACATTCGACTGGTATAATACCAGTGGTATTCATTGACGGTTGCGGGGTTGCCAAATACAAATCTTTAAGATTTTGAGCACGTACGGCGGGTCCGACTCATGGTGCAATACATAAATATAGTGTTAGATATCGCGAGGTTGTAAACGAATATGCACAGTATGTTCGACGTTAGAGGCAGGTTCGCTGATAATACTATATAAATGTAAAGACCCATCCGGCAACACCGAGACACTTGAACTACTCGGCTGTTACATTATTAATTAAAATGTCAAATTTCGAGCGATAAAGATTGCCTAGATTTCTTCTGTCGTTGTGTTTTGTTCTTTGTTTGAACTATGGGTTAAACTAAAGTCTTAAAATCATTCTTATTCTTCTGCGTTTAATTCCTACTGATAGATGTTTTGATTTCCGTGCCAATTTTTGGTAGTATTACGCACATCCGGGCAAGAAGGTTCTAGAACCTGGTGGAAACAGGAAATGTTTTTTTAAGGGACGCGAGCCCACACCACTTGGCAATTGTGTGTTCAGCAGACAAGTACGTAGTAAATTTTGGCTTTTTACGCCTAACCTGATAAAGGGATATAAACGTGCTTTTCTAACTTGGAAGTTGTGCTGTTGTTTTGGCATTGTGTTTTGAAGGAATCAAACGGCTTCCAAACGGCTTTGTAGCCGGATTAAAACTGAACCACTGCTAACATTTTTCCACGTGGGTTTCCATACGTTTCCACCATAAGTTCGTAAAGGACATCAACTCCATATAGGAGACAACCCAGAGGAATAAGAATCATTTAACCCTTATTATCAAGGGTTTTAATTCTGGGCCTAGAGCCTCAGTCTAAGTCTCGAGCAAGTTTATTGTATCAAGTATAAAGATCAAATTGTTTTAAGTCGCACCTCCTGTGTCACCCACGATCACCAGGATATTAGATATTGGATACCGTACACGGATGGACTGACGTACAATTCATATAGGAAAAGCTCCACGTACACCAATTTTGTATTACAAAGTGCACAACTAAGGTCAGATCCATTTCTTTCACTAATAATTAGGACCTGGTAGAATATTTTTTTTAACTTATTTCATATAAACTTCGATTAGTGTGAACTGCGGGTACATTGGCCAATATACACGAAGGGTTTTTAACATCATACTGTAATACCAGGGTACTTTAATTAACTTGTCTTGGGATCTGATTTAAGTATTTTTTTTTATACATAAACTTCGTGTGAAATACACTTTAACTTTTTTTTTTTAGTAATTTCTTTTATTCTCATCCCACATAAAAAAATTACTTGGTGCCCAATTTTAAAAATTTATAAGGTAAGTAGTAATTACGAAGGACATTCACCCACGACCATCTGAGCTAGCGGGATTTTGTGGTTCAGAGTCTAAGTAAGAGATTCTGCGCTATAAATTTGGCGCCCAACGTGGGGTGCAAGTTCCTAACGTCGTACATCTATTTCCGTTGGCCAAAACAACACTGGTCGACTTACTTCTATCAACGCTCAAACCTAAACCTTGACACAACTCATAACCAGAACCACCCAAGAACGTTCTAGAA